AACAAATTTATATTTTAATGTTTTTAATATATTTATTTTATAATGTAATTAAAATCAATTATATTTAATAATATATTTTAAAAACTTTATTAAAAAAATATTTTTTATATTCTTAAATATATCAATATAAATTTTCATCTTATTTTATCAATTAGTTATTGAAATATTACAAAAATTGATGTATTATTCAATTATTTTTGATTCATCCTGTACATCATTATTATTATTACTTAATAAATACACATGTGTGATTAATATTATAACTAGAAGATAATTTTTATTTATTTATTTTTTTCTTTTTATATTTTGACAAACTTTGATTATCTTACTTCTGTAAAAATCATTGATATAATAGTTATAAATGACATCAAATATTTGTCAGAAAAAAAAAATCTTAAAATCTTTTTTTAAAAAAATAAATACTGTTGTATACACATAATTATTTTGCATACTAATTACCTTCTATAAACTACTTAAGAATACATAATTAATTTTAAGTATATCTAAAATTTATTATTTGAAAATTTACAAAGTTCTATCATTATAATTTTAAAATGCTAGTATTTTCACGTTCTGTCAATATACTACAATTAAGCACTGAGTCGTTCCAGATCAAATAACTGTTTCATATATATATATATTATATATTGACAGTTAATTTTACCTTTTAACATATCCGATTAAGATTGTTTTCATTAAACTCAGTTAATGCAATTTTCTTGGAAATTTTTATAAATTTCTATGATTCGATTAATGAGTAGAAAGTTAATTAAACGTAGACCTTGAAAGCTTTGACTCTGTAAAATCCCACAAGACTCTCAACAAGTTATCTCCAAGAGTATGCAAGTCTAGGTGAAATTCGCCTGTATAAGAGGAAAGGACGTTAATATATATATATATATATATAGTGATCCTAATAACATCATACCTTCAGTTTCTTCATTAATATACATTTCGCTCGTTTGATGTTCCTTCACAAGATGTATTACTTCCAAGATATCATCACCCTCTAACTCATAAAGATTTTTTGCTAACTTGTTATAATCTACCTTTTAAATTTCATATCATTATTTAGACAAATTCTAACCTCCAGTATGCATTGTTGATTTAGATGTAAGTAAATAGTGAATGAAATTCACCTGAAAATTTTCTTTATTGCTCATAGATTCATTAGAAGAATATGACGAACTCGTAGATTCAGGTGAATTATTATACGTTGGGGTAACAGGTAGATCAGTTTTAGGGCGTTTTGTAGAAACAGATGGGGAAGACTTAGGTCTTTTTGAACGACCTAGCTTTGTTTTTAGAGGCGACTGAGAATCAGGCGTTGTCTCTTGGAAAAGTAATTTGAGAAAAGACGGTTTGGGATCGAAAAATTTCTATAATGGTGTTAATACCAATTATACTGATAAACCATCCAAATAACGAACAATATTTACCAGTATATGAGAAACTTCGTAATGGGGTTTTTGGAAATTAAGATCATGTTCCAAGGTCCACGGTTTAATGGATTTATCTATGAAGTGCAGTATAATCTTCATATCAAATTCTCCCCATCCTTTTTCTGAGAGTACAAATGGTGGCTTTCTAACAACTAAGAAAAATTTTTATAGAAATATGAATTAAACTTCAGCTTACTATAATAGATTACAAAATATATTTACTGACATATCATGTAAATATATACCTCTCTCTGGGTTTTCAAATGTTGGGTGCAAAAGATATTCTACTTTATCAACAAAATTTAGAGGAAATTTTTCACCACCCTCGCTTGAATAAAGCGAAACCTTCCATTTGCGCATGGGAAGTCCATTAGTTGTTTTTAAATTCTTTGCAACCTCCTGGTAGGAGTATTTGCAAAATTTTAGAAGGAAATAAAATACGAAATAGATAATGTCGATATAACTCCGCAAAAATGAATTAAACCTGATCAGTAACAACGGTAATCTCTTTTTCGACGTATGCCTAGAAAGTAAAGGATTTAAGTATAATTTCCTCGAAATTACGAGCATGTTTTACTTTCAATTCAACTTTATGAACCTTCTCTGCCATACTCAAAGTTTATTTTTTTTCTTTCTCTTTGAATTAGTTCTCAACACGAAAATATTTGGAAAATTACTCCGACGTTTTTTTTTTCAAATTGGCTAAGATCGGTAGTTGGTATATATTTTGACCAAAATTAGATTTGTAATGCTAGCATTAACATTCAACTAATAATGCACAATCAGTATATTTAGAGTATTAAATTCGATGTTATTTTAAAGTGTTTATATAAAATAATTACCATATATATAAACTATATATAAAAATTATAATTATAAGGTTTGAATTCTTAAAATCAAGATTATTGTATTGCTTATATAATTTAATTAAAAATTAATATCTCAGATTTCAAGTATAATTTTTAAATATAATTTAATATTTTTTAACATTAAAATTATAATAAAATAAAATAAAAATATTATTTAAATTTATAAATTAATTATATTTTTTTATATATTTATAAAAAAATTTTTTTTTTTCGATGACTGGCATACACCTTGCTTTATTAGGTTTATTGAATTAGCATATACAAATCTGTTTTATACAAATTTTCCCACTATGGATTATTAATCTAAAAAAACTCTTTCCCGTCCATCACCAAATTTCCTAATTAGGAAATATTTCTCAAATTAAAAAACTCATCAAGTTC